TATTGCTCGAATAACGCTCTGGCACGGGGCTAGATATTACTGCAACCTTGTAAGCAACTTGACTGAGCGCAACCGTAAATTTCACCTTTTATGACAAGTTGCGCTAAGTGAACTGCAATGACCAAGAAGAATTTACCTCTGTTCGCTTAGTTGATATTTTGCAGTTACGATCAGTGCAAGATTTAATATTCCTATATAGACCAAGACATCCATTAGGCTCGCTTCCACCAAGCGCGAGTCAGAAGGTGAAAGATTTGGTGAGTGTCAAAATAACTGTGAAAAGTTCCGATATGACGGTTCGCCATGAAGATCAGTTTGCATATTCTGCGGATATTTGAAGAATAATTAATAAGTAGTCTTTTTCCAGGCACTAGAACAAACCCAAGTGACTTCTTTGGAAAAGTTGGAAAAAGAAGATGACCGTGAATTATCCGTTATAGTTCCTACGAGCCCCTTTGTAAGCGACTTACTTAGTCTCTAATGACTAGCAGGCGAAAATTCGTTGCAGTTGGGTCCAGCAAGTGCCAAAGGATCTGTACCAACAATGTCCATTTATGATCCACTAGGTTTGATACCGGTAAGTTCAGATAGTACGATTCTGGTAGCTGACCCTTCAAACTTTTTAGCCACATCCTCCACAACCTCCGTCACTGCCATCGCCGGAATCGCCCCCACCAGCCCTACCACCATTAACGGTGGCTCCAGACAAAGAGCCTACGAAGTTACAACAAGCTTCAGCGAGTGCTCAGCCGCCAGCGTCAGCTCCAAACAAGGAGTCGGCATCAAAATCGTCATTAATTTCGCTCAGCCCTATGCCAAGTTCACATGCGCAGGCAAAGCCTGAGGATAAAGGAGCTGCATCGACACAAGGAGCTAAATCATTGAGTGTTAAGCCAACTCCTCCAGCGACTCCACAGCCAAGGGCACGCCTGACACCGGTAATTTGCCAGAACACTCTACGTTAGCAAGAATCGTATGGATTAAGAAATTTTTCGTTTGAAATAGCTGTGCTTGCGATGCCCTATGCAATGTATCGTCGATTCGTTGACCGCACGGACTGCAGACATGG